CTTGTTTCTTAACAAGCGTATAGGACCTCTGTAATGAAGCTATAAAGTTAACCACTTCCTCTAGAAAAAGGATTACTTTCCAGCCATGCACCACTTTTTGGGGGTTTGATACCCCAAGCAGACCTAAACCCACAGCCAAGCCTCATGACTTGCTGGAGCTTGCTGCAGTGGAGTCACATGTGAGAACCTTCCCCTTACCCCTGACCTTGAAAGGTCTGCCCAGGATTGGGAACCCCTCTGCCTAAAGAAGCTTTGTAAAGCCTTATATTTTCACAGCTCCCTCTGGACAGGTTGCTTTGTCTTGGTGATATCTAAACCACAGACCCCCTGACACCAGATCTTACCCCCTGGTACAGATGGGGAAACTGAGGCACGGAGCACAGCTATGTGAATTGGAAAGGCCATGCCAGGAATTCACAAAAGTGCTATAGAAGGGGCACCAGAGTCTTGATTCCTTTCTGCTGCGTGACCTCTAGGCAGTGCTTTCAAGAGTCACACTCTTCTCTCCCAGTTTCAGACCTTAATCAGTTTGTGCTATAAAGGAAGGAGGGAAAGAAAAGGTCTCAAAGGACCCCAGCAGCTCTCACTAGTTTTACCTCTTCAACCTGCGCTGAGGAGTCAGGGCAAATAATCCAGTCCCACGTCCAGCCCCAGCTCATTTTTCTGCAGTGGATGGATGGACAGCTGTCAGAATTGCCCCACTGTTTCCCTGGCCCGTCACACATTTTCCCTTCCAGTAAGTACTTGCTTAAATTCCCTTCCTTGGAAATCCACTCTTTCACTAATGCCACTTTACATTAAGTTAAACCAGCCTGCACTGCAGCGTCTATATTATGCCTTCTCTTCAGATGATCTTTTACTTACTAAAAAAGGCACCTCGACTCCTGGCTCAAATTTTATTTTGCATTATTTAATATTTTTCTCTCAAACCATGTGTCTCAGTAGCATTGAAAGTCTCTGGAGTTTTGGGCTTGGAGCTCTTCCCATGCTCCATATTAACATCTCTCTGCAAGAGGGGTTCGTTAGGGACAAAAAACTCCGCTTCCCCTACCCCTGTGATTCCTTTCCTTTCCAGAAGACTCCTGTTCTTGCAGGCTGAGTGACTAGATATACATCTGTGCATCACCGTGTATATATATCTACAGGCATCTGTATCCATATAGTGCTTTCTACATGATGGGTACCAAACAGTGACATCTCAGCTGATGGTAACTACTAGGAAAGAGGAGCCCTCAGTTCCCCACAGATTGTGTTTTAACTGAGTGTGGAAGAGTGCAGGGAGCAGATTTGTGAGATTTGCTCCCCTGTGCATGTGCATGCCCACTTGGCATCTCCTCATGTTCAATAGGAATATGTTTGTGCTCTCTTTGTACGCCGCCTTCTCTGCTCGTGGCACTGCTGAATAAAAATAACAGTTGATGGTATTCTACGGAAATAGAGGTCGGGAGCATCAAGTATCGCTATTCACCAGAGCGGGTTTGTTTGTTTGTTTGCTTGCTTTTCAGGCAATATTACGAAATGCTCTACAACACAGCAGACGAGCTCTTAAACCTCGTGGTGGATCAAGGGGTGAAGTACACAGAGCTGGAATACATCTATGCCCTGAACTTGCTGCACCGGAGCCAGACGGGTGTGGGAGACCAAACCACCCAGAACATGAGGTTGCAGCGGTTGAAGGAGATCATTTGTGAGCAGGCTGCTATCAAACAGGCCACCAAAGACAAGAAAATCACCACCGTGTAATCTGCTCCGTCGCTCGTATGAACTGAGCAGCAGGGGCTGTCAGGTTGCAGGTCCAAGCCTCTGCATTTCTGTTACAATCAAACGCAAAAGCGCGTATCTTCTGGGTGGCATTATACTAGTGAGAAGCAGAATGCTATTTGAGATTTGGTTTTGGGGTTGTTTTGGGGGTTTTGATGTGTAATCGTGTAATGTTTCCTTAATGTGTTCTCCCAAGAGTGATTGCACAGCAGGAACGGGCATCCTGGTGGAGATTTGGGTGGGCTACTTGGCTTTGCTCTGTTGCTGCTGCTTTGCCGTCAGATGTAAGGCAAGCTGCTATCTCTGGTGGGGTGGGAAAAGAGATTTCACACTGGGTTAGGTCAGAGTCTTCAGTGGAAATTCAGACCACGTGAAAGTAAACAGCACGATGACAGTCAAGCACAGACCTGTTGGTCACATGTGGGAACTTGATGGTTTTGAAGCTGTTCCAACAGCGTTGCTGCACGGAGCCTGTTTCAGCCCTGCCAGTACTATTCTCCGTGACAATTGTAGATGCTTTTAGTTTTCTGCTGTTTCCACTGCAAAGAGATCTAGTTGCTTATTCCTTCAGATAGTGATAAGCCAGTTCTCGTAGTGGGAGGCAGCATGAGACCATTTGTTTCCACTTCTACTTTTTCATTATCACAGAGCCATATGGCATCGGTTTCTACAGCGCGTACTGCACTGGATGATGGTGGATGTAGGAGAAAATTGCCAATATAAGGTAATAGCAAAACTTAATTCTCTTTTTCTGAATATATCTGTTGAGTCTCCTCAGCTCAAAAGATATTTTGTAATCGTTATTTGATGTACTGGAAGGACATGCAGGCTTGTGTAGCTCAGCACTAATGATCAGCAAGGGCAGGAGGAGGGCAGATCCCAGCTCTGCAGTCTGAGGCGCGCTGGTCACCATTTCTGCCCTGCCTTGACCATTTAAAGCCACCTGGTAAAACGCTGAGGAGTTTATACCATCCCTCCAAACCAAGAATACACTGCACTCATATTTGCCAAGTAAATTCTCAACGCAGCTGGGTTTCACATGCTGAGATAGATTCTCTCCGAGCTCTGTAACTGCTTGTCTGTCAGTCTTGAAAGTGCGAAATAAAAGGATAGTTAACGATTCTTCAAAGGCTCTGGTGCTTTGTCTGGAGTTTTTTAAGAACTGTTATTTTTGTGGTATTTAAGACTCCCTTTCAGGTCCAAATTCATATAGTGTCCTCCAAGGTTATATCAGTGTGGAAGTGGGCTTCTGAATCATTCAGTCTAATCCCCAGCTACCACGGGCCAACTGGGCAAGAAGCTTCTCAACCTCCATGTTAAAAGCAGAACCCAGCAGTTCTAGTTGTTAGGACTCTTCTTCTGGTTTCTATTCTCATTTTATTCATGAACCCAGTTTTTCTTAATGCCAATATTGGCCATTAACTGCAAGAGTTCCTTCCTTTCCTTGATAAATTTGCATGAGTGTGGGTGGAGAACGCCATCATGGTAACACGTATGATGACGTGGGGGTCTTTCTGGGGTAACACAGGAGATCTGTGCTCACCTGCTCACACATTGAGATGTGCTGCAGCGTAGATACAGGAAAGCAGGCTATTCCCTATCCAGACTTTGGAGGAAGGTCAAGAAGCTGCTTGGTACATGTAAGGCAGATTTCACACCCTTTGAGGTACAGAAGTGATGTGTGAGGAGCTCTGAATTCAGACTGGGCTGCTGTGGCCTAATGTCACACTATTTTTGATTCCTTTCGTCTTTAATTCCTTAATAATCTGAGGCTCTGCCTTGTCTTCACATGGCTGATCTTGAGCTTTGCAGTCCACGTTTTCTGCCCACCGAGCAACGGTGCTGGTGGGTGCCATGACAGATTGCATGAAATCAAGAAAATTTCATACTTGGGAGTATGTTTGCTTCTACAGCAAATTGTTTAAAGGACTCTTCTTTGAACTGCACTTCACATTGTCCATCCCATCACCACAAGTTGTAAATACAAAGCCCTAGCTCATGTCTGTGCACTGGCCTGAGATGTGAGAAGGCATTTAGGGGATTGCACGACACAAGAACACCATCGCACGACGATGGAGAGAAGACAGGCGGTGACATACAGGGACTTCCCTAGAGCCTGGTGTAGAGGAAAGCAAAGGTTTTGCAATTGAGGTAATTTACAGCATAGAATTAGCTCGTGTCTCTCTCCTCGAGCGTTCAGATTCTCAGTCCTCTCCAAACCTTCGCAAGTGAAGTTAATATTCTGTTCTCTCCGTGTATTAGAGTGGTCACACCGTGGGCACAAAGGGAGTGAGGGTTGCCGGAGGGCACAGAGAAAGGCATGAGCAGCATGTGGCGTGTAGGAATGCAGACCCTGAGCACCTTGTTTCAGCCGCCCATTGACCTACGCTGCACAAGCTTTCTTGCTGCATCACAAGAAGCTGCTGCCAGAAAGAATCCTCGTCAGCCGTAACAAATCTTTCCTGAATATTTTTTCCTGGAAAGGTAGCTTTTGAATGCACTGTGTTTTCTTGCCAGCAGGTGTTTCAGAAGTATAACATGCACAATGAAGATTATGATCTTGAAGCGTAGAGGTCTCCAGACAGCTCATGTTTAGGCAATGCACCTAGTTTTGTGTGTGCATGTGTCGGTTTTAGATCACCCACTCTCCCTGCCGCTTTCCAAGAGAGAACGCTAAATAATCAGCAGGCCCATCCTCTGCGCAGTGCAGTTTGGCTTTGCTAAACCATCTCCCAGTAAGTTTCCCGCTTGCATTTGTGTTTCCAGATAGCGCTAATGGCATGGCAGCAACCCACTTGGTGCAAAGCACCTGGACAATACGAGCAATGAGAGCGCTATTTCGGCACCAAGACTGCCTGGAAAAAGAGAGTCCCCTTTGCAAGGGGTCTGGCTTGTGTGTCGGTTTGTTGCAAATCCTCTCTCACTAATAGGGGATGGAGTGGGTGGGGGAGAGATCTTTGGGGAACGTTTTTTGTTCATTAAGCTGTTATTGCGGGTAGAGTCAAGCTGTTATGCTTAACAGTAAATAACTATTCAGACAAGAGGCTGGCTTATCCACTCACAATGTCCACACACACACGTACACACTCATAAGCACCCATCTGGAGCCACAGCTGGGAGGCCAACCCCAAAGGTGGTGGGAAGAAGAGGGTGGTACTGACGCACCAGTGGCTTCTAAGCAGGTGTTTGGAAAGTCCCTTGAGAGCACATTGTCTCACCCAGGCATCCAGGTAATCCTGTACTCTTCATATAGCAGCCACAACCCTCTCGGGTGTGTAGGGTCCGAGTCACACAGCCCCTTCTGAATGCTCGCGTGTGCTCATGGTCTTGTGCAGATGTGGCAGGCTCTGGCTGTCCTGAATTTATCAGTTCTTCTAGATGCAACAGAAGCACAAGTCTCCGGAGAGTACCAGCCCTTGGGAAACTTGCTGACATTTCCTTGCCAGCATTTACTTTTCCTTTCTTTGGCGTGGTGTCTGGTGACCATTTCTCCATCCCAGCCTGTGGAACCCGGTCACACAGACGGGGCATTTATGGCAGATTCACAGTGGAAGATGGTTTCCCAAAGGGAACAAACCACATGAGGGTGTTGCAAACTGTGCAAAGACCCAGGAACCCCCTTTATCTTAGATCTGAGCTGTGCACAGCACAACTTACTCCACTTCTGCCCTGAAGGAGGGACCCAATCCTCAGTCCGGTACCTTCTTACAAGACTGCCGGTAACATCTCTGGTTCTGTTCTCTGCACCAGCTCTTGCCTACAAGCCATTCTGCAGTCCTGATGTGACCCTGCAGGACACAATGGTTTATGGACGAGGCCTAGAGATTTTGTTTTGTATCGCAACATGAAATGCTGTCAGCTCCACCAGCGCTTAGAGAGTAATCATTACGTGGATGTGGCCCTTTGGTGCTTAAAGAGACAAGGAAATACTTCTCCAGACCGCAAAATGAAGTATTTTCATGGGGGCTGTAAAAGTTCATGAGGGTTTCACAATTTCCTCTTTACAGCCTCATAATCTTTACTGGGTTTTAATTATCACACTATTTTGAAGCCTGCGCCAGACACAATAGCAGAAGTGGAAAGTACAGCAAATAGCTCCGGTTCTTTTCACAGTTGCCTATCGGTCACCAGCTCGTCCTCCCCCAAATGCCTCCTCCCTCTTGACATCCTCTTGATTAAGGATGATATAAACCTGCCTGTCTGACAGATATACGTACAAATACGTGTATGTACACACACGGCATAGATAGATAAGACCCCAGGGATATCGTGGTGTGGGTCCCTCCAACCTTATAATCTGCCATACATGTGATGAGCGTGGCCATTCAGAGACAGCACCGGCTGGAAAGGTTTGCTGAGCAGTAGTTCCACTGAGACTCTCTTTTTGCCTTTTATTGGCTGCGTTTTTATTTTATTAGCATGAGTCATAATTGCAAATTTCTTTTGGAATGTGGTAGATATAGCAATAAAGGGGAGGGCACTCAGGGAGCAGGGGAGAGCTGCCAAGAGGAAATTAGCATTGCAGTAATGTTGATTCTATTGCTCTTAGACAAGCAGGGAGCTTTTTTTGGGGGCTAAAGAGTCATTTTACTGAGCTGAGACATGGAGAAGTCACACAAACGGCCACTTGCACACTGATCCTTAGTCCTGGGGATTCATTCCCATAGTGGAACACACCATAATACACAAGCCACCTCCATCACTGTGGACCTTGGCCACAAAGCTGACTGTGCTCTCATCTCAGGAATTTATTACCCAAGGATTCATCCTACTGCACTTTAAATACCCAGTGACCCACATCAATTATATCACAGTAGCAACCTGAGCCTCGGGCAAGGCTGGATGTCCATCGCTGTGTATGTGCATAGCGGGGGATGTTCTGCCCTGAAGAGTTTGCACTCCAAACAGGTGTGACAGATGATAAACTCGAAAGGAAGCTGAGATGCAGAGAAGTCAAATGTTGCTCTCCAGGCCATGGTCCCTGGTGTACTAGCCCTGCTCTTTCATTACTGGGCAAAACCATCTTGTCAATCCGAGCTGGAGCTGCCTGTGCCCTGCAGTTCACGTTTTAGCTTTTTGCATTGAATAGGGAGCGTGCTCAGAAATGAGGCGTTTTGCTTTATTTTTCGTTCCTTCCTTTGCTGATTGGATCTAACAACTGAGCCAGGAAAAAAAAAAAATTAGGTAGCTGCAGCCAGCATATAATCATTAAATTTGCTTTTGGATGACCTGTGTGAAATTCATCAGGAGCGATTTATTGGGAAGTTCATTGTATCGGTGTTCATTATTTACTCTGTTAGGCTTAGGCACAGTGGCAATCAGTGGAGAAAATTGGACTGTTAGGGCCTTGGACTTCAGTGTTTGTAATTTCCTCTACCGACTTGCAGCATGAAATGCATTTGGCGCAGACAAATCACTCCCTCCGCTGCTACAGCTCAGTGTGCTCGTCCGGCGGTGCCCAGCCATCATTGTGGCTCTGACAACTGGAGAGGTGAAAGCAGGTCTGGGGAAAAGAACAGAGAAATAGAAAGCAGCCTGAATCCCGACCCTGGTGTTGAGCACTTCCAAAGGCCCGCGGTGACTTTAATTAATGTCATGGTTATTTTTCATGCCTCTGCCACCCAGCTGAGGCAAAGCTACTGCTCTCCCTCCTGGCGAAGTTCCCCCTCCATCGCTGGACTCTGACAAGTACAAGCAGGCCAGGCCTGAGCTGAGGGACTAAAAACCAGGGGATCCACAAGAGAGAGACTGGAGAACTGGTAATGTTTGTGTTACACAGATTGCATTTTCCTGGTCATCAAGGGGAAGATGCAAGAGGAACAGGCCTGGAGTTGAAATACCTCTCCATGGGTCTCTCCTTCCCTCGGCAGCTGCACTGTTTGCTGGCCCCCTGCCCTGGTAAAGACACCTTGCAATGACAAGCCTCAACACATGACATTGGAGTAGCTTTGTGGTTCTGAACGTCGCCAACTCCATCAGCTCTGTAATAACCAGCCATCAGCTCTCTCGTGGTATCTACAGTGCTTCTCCAGCAGGATTTGCCGTCAGAGTCTTTGAGTCCACCCCCCATGCCAAGGGACAGTCTTCAAGGTATCTCTGATCCTCCACGGTGCCTTGTTTGTCCCGTAG